GGAGGCAGCGCAGCCGCACAGCTTCTCCGGCGGGCTGCTTTGAGGCTGAAGGTTGCGTGACAGGCAGAAATTCATCAGGTGGAGCGGTGGGGAAAGGTGGCCTCAGCGGCAGGGTCGGGCGCAGGTCCGCGCTCTTCCTTCTCAGCAGGCCGCCTCCTCTCGGGGGCTCACTGGTGTCTCCAGCTCCGCCGGGAAGGGGCTTTTGCTCCACGTGCCTTCCGGGGCTCCCGCCCCCAGGGCCGCCTGCGCCCGATACAAGAAGGAAGTTCCTGAGCTGCTTCTCTCCTGCCTGGGGGGGGGGAAGGGGGGCGTTTGGTCCTGTTTCCGACCCTGCTTAGCTTCCGAGATCAAGGTGGTGTGGCCGTAGACGGCAAAATAATCCGCTCAGCCTCTCGTCTAGATGCAGCGGTCCCTGACGCGGTCTTTTCCTCTGCAGGACTCGGACACTCCTGGCCCGCCTCTCTGGCCGCCCTCCCAACAGCACCCCCAGCCCCATTCACACTCACCCCAAGCGCTTCCTCTGCGCCTCTTTCCACAGGCGCTGGGCTGCACCGGTTGCTTGCTGGAGGGTCTGGGTAAAAGTCGGATCTAAATGGATCCTCATGAATTCATATGATTTTTACACTGAAAGGAAACAAAACCACCATCATATTTGTTATGTATTGAAGTGTATATATAACTGCTTTATGACACCACAAAAATCAGGCACCCACAGATTCCTGGCACCACAGCAGCACAAAAACATGATTCCAAAGGACGGATCCTCATGAATTCATATGATTTCTACGCTGGAATGAAATAAAACCTACATCATACTGTAGACCACGTCTTAGACTATAGGCAGCACTCTAAAAATCATGCCCCCATGAATTCGTGGCTCCACAAAACTGCAAAAACGTGGTTCCAAAGCACGGATCCTCATGGATCCTCGGTTTTTCAGTTGGGTCACCCGAAACACACCATCAAATCACATAACATGTCCAGGGCCACAGCTTGCACCACAAAAATCACAGATCCACAGCTTTGTGGTGACCTATTAGCATTTCTTCCTCCTTCCTGCCTGTTCTCTGCCCAGAAGGGAAAAACTTTAAAGACCTCCTGGTAAAGGTTTTACTCCAGTCAGACCTCTGCCTCAAAAACGCATTTCTTCACAAACAGGATGACAAATTCCTCATCTGAACTCCATCCTCCTATGAAAGGGCGGTTCATAGCCAGGCAGCGGCTGGGGCAAATGTTTGGGTCTTGGTTCTGTTTTTCCCCTGGCAATTATAAAATGATATAACATTCCTAGCTCATGGCCAATCTGATGCAGACTGAAGTCCATCAGAGCACACTGTTTTCAGTGGGCTTAGCAGCATGGCTGTATCACAGCCTCCAAGCATCCTCTGGAACTTCTCAACCGCCAGCTTTGGTCTCCTTGCCCCCTTTCGATTCAAGTGACTTATAACACACAGGGATACATCGGCCCAAGGATGTGACGGGCTGAGGACCGGTTCTCCATCATCAGCCAGCTATCAGTGTTTGGGGTAAACCATTTTGCTGTGAAATCCAATGCCTGGGCACGTAAACGGATCTCTTGCACTCAGCGGGAGCCACGGGCTCTTTCTCTCCTTCTCCAAATTTCAGCTCTGCAGCACACTGTTCCTAAGCAACAGACCAAATCCTTCATTCTTGCCCTTCTCTTGAGCAGGAGGGAAGCTGCCATTAGGAGCAGAAGCAAGAAGAGAGGGACATCATCTGTTTCTGGACTGCATGTTTTCCCAGTGATATTCCAAGAAGAATATCAGAGAAAAATCCCAAAGCCTACATGTGCCCTTTTTAATACCCACAGCATAGAAAGTCTCAGAAAGGTAATGGGTCTTTTTTCAACCTATCGCATATTGTGCTATTAATATTCCCTGCATTTTTTAAAGTCTTCCTTCCAGCGGGTTTACTTTCTTCACGACTAAAAGGTAAGCTGCGGTTATCCCGTTTTGCTTTCCAGGTGGATACCTTTAGCTGTTTAATTGACTCTCGTGCATCCTTTTTTGAAAACAGGAAATTGCCTTATAACCTCTGTTTTTAAGAAATGGTGGTATCAATCTAAGCTGTGGAGTTTTGTGAGCAAAAATTCTACTTTGTGAGCTACTGGAATTAAAGTTGTGAGTGAGTGATTTGGCTACGGCATCAATTCGTTTGCTCTGGAGCCATCCTTCCTGAGCTGAGACAAAAATGTGTGAGCCAGAGGCTAAAAAACTGTGAGCTAGCTCACACTAACTCAGCTTAGAGAGAACACTGGTATCAATATCTTTTCAATGCAAGGTGAACTACAGGAGCACACAGATTTGGAGAGTAAAAGATCCTGAAGGGAAACCAGGAAGAATAAAAATCATGGTATGAATAGAAGTAGCTTGCAAGACCTTTCGCTCAATTCATCCTGGTTTGGTATGAATTTAAAGTAAGGTAAAGTGTGTTCAAGTGCAGTAAAATGCGTTAAGTGGTCCCATTTTCTCTATGGGAAACTGTGGTGATTTTCTGTGTTACTTCTGTAATTACTCTTATAAATGTGCTCCCTGGTGGTGGAACAGAGCTGTTACCAAGGGGAAGGCACTGTTATTCTGCTGTGGAAGAATTTCACATCGTTGGGTCTTGGTAGGAAGGAGGGAGGGTCTTTACAAAACATGTAGTAAATTACATCCTGAATTTGTGACCCGCTCACAGCCTGCCAAGCAGAGGCGGCAACTTGCCAGGGCCCTTGGTGTAACTTGTGCTTTGGCTGACTGCCTCAAACTGCAAAGTCACTGGGAGTGTTAGATCGCCACTAACAAAGATCCGGAGAGTGATTTCAACCAAAGTGATCAGCTTTACTGAAGTAACAAACAAGCACATAAAACAAGTCATAACCAGAACAGATTAACATTGGAACCTTGGCTCCTTTTAAACATTCCAGGGCTAACGTAGCCACACCTACTTACAAATAACAACCAATAAGGTTGTTCGGATAAAGTCCAATGAAAGTCCTTCCTGCTCAGGGAATAGGTGTCGTTCTGATTGGTCGCTGAAATAGAGCGACCAATAGCAAGTCAGTTCTGAGGAGCCTTCGTCCGGCTCGAAGCTTCGCATGGGAAATGAATGCGGTGATTCATTAAGCTATTCCAATACATTACAGGGAGTTTGCTCTAGATCAGTGATGGCGAACCTTTTAGAGACTGAGGGCCCAAACTGCGACCCAAAACCCACTTATTTATCACAAAGTGCCAACACGGCAATTGAACCTGAATACTGAGGTTTTACTTTCGAAAAAACGACTCATACATTAACTTAAGATGATCCAAACAAAGTAAGGAAAGCAATCCCAAATGCTTTCATTTACTTAAAATTATCTGGCAGAGAATTCGACACTTTAATGATGGTCTGGGCCTGGGTGGGGCGATGGTACGTGTGCCCACAGAGAGGGCTCTGAGTGCCATAGGTTCACCACCACTGCTCTAGATTCATCATGCCACAAAGCTTGTGGTTGCCGATGTAGGTTGTGAGTCAGGCAGGCCTATCACTGCACAGATTCCTCTGTCGAGTTAACAGCATCATCATCATCATCATCAACATCATTTTATTACGGTCAGAGACCCATTAAACAGCATACAGAATCAAAAGAAAAAAGCATTACAGAGAAGAGACACTGGGTTAACAGCACAAAGCTGCTCTCTGCATGAACAGGGAGGCACAAGGATGCTGTTGCTTTGCATTAGGTATTGATCGTGCTTCACAAAGTCCCCCACCTTTGCCCTCATGGTTTCTAGCCACCAAAGTGAGATTTCTCCCTGCCATGTCACAACCTGAAGTTGGCAAGCTTACCTACCAGATGGATCTAAGAGTCAAAAGAAGAGCATTGGCCCCTGCTGGCAATTGACTCTGTGATTTTTGTTTGTTTGTTTTGTGAATATTTGCATGGGTGCCTGGGAGTCATCACTGGTTTCTGGTGACCCCTAGTGGGGCTGGGAGGAAAAGACATTCAGGCAGGTGTCTCGGCCCTGGTATTCCTTGGATGTCTCCCATCCAAGTATTTGCCTGGGTTGACCTTGCTTAGTTTCACAGATCTGACGAGATTGGGCTTGCCTGGGCTACCCAGGGCAGGGTAATGGCCTTTCTAATTTTGAAAGCAGAAGCAGATCTTGTGGTTGGGTCGGCAAGATGCTACTTCTGTAGGATTGCCAACTCCTGGTTGGGATATGCATGGAGATTTGGAGGGGGGGAGCCTGGGGGCAGAGCAGTTTGGGGAGGGGAGGGATCTCAGGGGGGTATCATGCCATGGCATAGCGCCCACCCCCCAAAGCAGCCATTTTCTCCAAGGGACCTGACCTCTGCAATCTGGACAGCAGCTGTAATTCTCGGAGACCTCCAGGCCCACCTCAAGGGTGGCAGCCCTAGGGCCCTGCACTCTGGATTGCGAAGCCGGCTTTAGAAGACTTTCCATCATCACTATAGCAAGAATGTACAGAAACAGAGAAAACAAAATGGTGGTGAAGGTGATTCTTAATATGTTTAGCACTCTCACGGTACTTCAAAGAATAACACAATGTTCTCTTCCAGTTTGTTATTCATTTAATAAATGTACACCCTGTACACTCTCCCCACTGGGGACTCAGGGTGCCACACAACCAGTGTTCCCTCTAAGCTGAGTTAGTGTGAGCTAGCTCACAGTTTTTTAGCCTCCGGCTTGCACATTTTTGTCTTGGCTTCAAAAGGATGGCTCCAGAGTAAACAAATTTATGCAGCAGCCAAATCAGTCACTCACAGCTTTAATGCCAGTAGCTCACAAAGTAGAATTTTTGCTCAGAAGGCTCCACAGCTTAGAGGGAGCATTGCTCACAACTTTTAAAAATACAAACGCTTAGAAATGTTAAGAGTGTGTTCCTTCACTGACTTTCTGGCCTGAATGTCTTCTTTTGACTTTCTGTGCTTCTAGGCCTCATTGTCCTGGGTCTGAAGAGGGCTTCCGCTGTGGACCATTTGGGCAGCTGATGGAGAGAAAATACTTGAAAAAAGAGATAAGGAAACTCTTGTGAGTAACTTTTGTTTAGTAACTTTTGTAAGTAACTTTAAAGTAAATTAAACAAACTTAAGTCAATCAAAGTGAACTTTTAAGAAACTCGTAAGTAAATGGGTGGCTTTTGTAAGTAACTTTTGTTTTGTAAGTAACAGAATCTTGATGAACTTTCTAACCCAGAGCTGGCAACCCTAAGTATACATTTAGTTACCTTCCTGCACTCTGGGGTTTGAGGAGAACGCTCCCCCCCAAAAAAACATACACAAATAGATTATGACATATTGGACAGGTGAGATCTGGTTCTAATTCCAAACGACTCTTTTCCTTGAAGGGGAGATTACGTTGGCATCAGACTTCGGGAAAATGCATTTGATCCACAAGGAAAGAAGCAGGCCAACTCTCTAGACGACTTGGTAAAGTGGTATTTTATTGTTCTGTTCTCACGCTTTGTTGAGAGTCTGCTGCAAGGTCTGGGACACCCTGCTGGGAGACGAATGAAAAGAAATGCTTGCTGTTGCTTCTGGCTACCACAAGGAGGAGCAACAAAACACAGAGCTCAGGTAGTGTCCAAGAGCCGGTTTCATTAACCTCATCAGTCAGAGTTAAAACTGAGAGCCAGGACACCACAGTGGGTGGAGTGTTGGACTAGAAGAAGTCACTCGCTCACTCAGGTGTGCACCAGTCACTCACTCACTCACTCAGCCTAACCTACCTCACTGGGTTGTTGTGGGGCCAAAATTAAAGACCATGTCAGCTACCCTGAGCCCCTTGGAGGAAAAGTGGGATAAAAATGTCATGGGTAAGCAATGCTCAGAGGAGCTGATGATTTCCTGCTTGGTATGGACACCATACTTCTTCATTGTGTTGCATCCCTGCTAACGGTTACCATGACCTTTGGGCACACTGACCACAGGCAGAAATGGCAAGTTCTTCCCCTTATAATCAAGTCAGTGGGCCCTATTGCCAACAGGAGAATGAGGACATTAACAGTAAGAGAAGCAACTTCTTCCTTCAAGCACCAGAGTTGTAGGTAGCCAGAGAAATTAGTGGGGTCGTTATTCTACAACTAAGGAAACCGGATGTCCATGGATGCCATGCGTTAGCCACGCATTAGCACGGGACAGTCCACTGTGAGTTTTGTGCAAATCCATGGAAACAGAGGAGCAAGAAGCTAGCCTGCTAGAATCTCCTTTCAAAATGTAGATGGGCAAGGAAAAAACTAAGACCCCCCATGAAGTGACACCACACTGCATGCAAATGTCCGTGTTTGGCACTGTATTTTTAGATGTGTGTTTTTTCCACCAGGCTCATTATGACTTGGCCCTCAGTGTTGCTTTACCTTGGCTCAGTGATTCAGAAGTCCAAACATCTTTGGAAAAAGAAAAAACGTAAGTGACATGAAAATCGAGACCTCGATCTTGCAGCAAAGATATGTACGGCCCAGTGCAGCTGGATGTCACCCGCTTTAGAACTCACCTTTATGGTTAATATGCTCTGTGGATGGTGATGGAGTCACTCCCGGGTAGATCACAGCACCACAGAGTTGGGAGGGGCCTTCTAGTCCAGCCCCCTCCCCTTTTTCAATGCAGGAAATCCAAAGCAAGAGCATCCCCAGCAACGGGTGACTTCTTTCAGGGAGAGCTCACCAGATACAGGCCAACTAGGCGATCGATTAGATTTTAGGGATTTTCCCTTGATCACAATCTTATTCCTCCTCACATCATCTGTGACTGTAAAGCAGGACAGGAATATTAATTCCAGGGTGTCAGAATGCTTAAGTCTCCCTGAATTTGAACCATACTTTATGTCCATTGATTGACATTCCTTATGGAACCTGGAAGCATAATGGGGAAGGTTTTTAAACTGTTTTAAGGGATTGGACCTTATTCCAGGATCTTTCAGATCAATATAATGTCATGAGCTCCCCTTTCCCAGAATGCTGCAGGAACACTAGATTTCCATGATGCCCAAATACTACATAGCCACAATTCCACTGTCATTCTTTTTTGAAAGAAAGGTGAGCTGGAATCCCTCGGCCAATGTAGATTTTGAGGGGTTTCATCTTCAGGTTGATTACACAAGTGTGGAAAGGCAGCACAAATTTCTGATTTGGTAATCATTCAATTCCCTTTCCCCCCAATTTAATCTGGACAGGAAATTGCCTCCGTGTCACAAATCTCTCTCTCTCAACCGGCCTAAAAGAGAAGCTCTGATTCTATCATCTTATGCTGGGATGTTAATGGTATGTATGTATTTGAAGTCTTTTTGCCCCGACCCTCAACAAGGGCAGTTCTTGGTGGGGTTTACAAAGAATCTAAATATAGAAAAGAATTATGTGATTAATTAAGCATTAACACTAGGAGCATTAAAACCAACAGCACCTGCAGAAAGCATTGGTAAAAGCAGTAATAGTATAAACGCATTGGAGACAGCTAACGTAATTATCAAAGAGATAACCTGGTAAAAAAATCTAATTAAGTGGAACATAAATTAATAAAACATTTAAACAAACATCATAAACATGGAATAAAAGAACCACCGCCACCAGAATCAAGAGTGTGCTGAAAACCCAGGAAGCTACCAGTGCAAGCCTAAGTGATGTTGCCCAGGGTTGCCAACTCCAGGTCTGGAAATACCTGGAGATTTGAGGGTAGAGCCCAGAGAGTGGGGTCTAGAGAGGGGAGGGACCTTGGTAGGGTGTAAAGCCATGCCCTGCAGTCCACCTTCCAAAGGAGCCATTTCCTCCAGCAGTGGAATAAATGTCTTTAAGTAAATAAATGACAAATACATAAGTGATTGGTGTGGTCTGGAGATAAGTTGTGATTCCAGATCTCCAGCCCCCACCTGGAGATTGGCAAGCCTAATTCATTGCAGGTGTCCATTTGCTCCCTAAACGTTGTGTGCTTCTCCAAGTTTTAAATGTTGTCCTCCTAATTTTGAACTGTTTTCACATGACACTTTGGGCACAGTTAAGCCCATTCATTCCTGGCGACCTATCTGACGGAGGAGGGGGAGGTTAGCGCCAGGAATGGAAAAACAGGCCAGTTTATCTCTCCTTGCCTGAGGTAAGAGGAAGATGGAAGGCGGACTTGAATTTCCTGTCCCTGGAACTTGATGGCTTCTGGGGTGGTTTTGTTCACAAGGGGGAAGGATGGCAAACCATCACTCACCACGGGGTCTGTGTGTCTACAGAACAGCATTCCCGTGGAAGACGTCCTTGGGATTTATAAGGCGGGTCCGACGGCTTCCAACCGGCAGAGCTCGACAAAAGTAGGTGGCAGCTGTGTTCATGTCATGTCGGCCACAGTGGACCAACATGCTGCTTCTGATGCACCTTCTTTCACCCCCCCCCCATTCTTAAATGTCTCACAGTTTGCTTTTGTTTGTTCTCACAAGTTTCATGTCATAATCAGCTTCATGTCCCGGCCTTCCTTCAGGGAGGATTATGGTTGCCCTCTAGCAGTAGGAACAAAAGTCTTGTCCCTTGATCAGAGATCACTATTTAACAGGGGATCTGATTTATCTCCGTGCCATAAAAACATACATAAGCTCATTTTAATACATTAGATTTCTATTAAAGAGATAGAACCTATTTAAGAAAAAGATGGGCAGCCTTGTTAGTCTGTCCGTAGCAGCAGAAAAGATCGAGAGTCCAGTAGCACCTTAAAGACTAACAAAATATGTGGCGGGGTGTAAGCTTCCGTGAGTCACTGCTCACTTGTTCAGATAATCTAGAAGTGAGCCATGACTCACGAAAGTGCATACCCTGCCATATGTTTTGTTAGTCTTTAAGGTGTTACTGGACTCTTGCTCTTTTCCAATATTTAAGAACATCAGAGAAGCCATGTTGGATCAGGCCAGTGGCCCATCCAGTCCAACACTCTGTGTCACCCAGTGGCCAAAACCCAAGTGCCACCAGGAGGTCCACCAGTGGGGCCAGAATACCAGAAGCCCTCTGTTGGATCCCCAAGCATCGAGAATAAATCCACGTTTTAAGAAAAGCAAAATTTATTTCAAAGCGTTGACGACATACTCAAACACGTTCTTTGTTAGAACTGGGGATACACAGTTAGATCAAGCATAATAAAGGAACTTCAAAGAGATACAGGTCCAATGAATAACTTTCCCGCTGGCGGGCTAATGGAACGGTTGCGCGCCCAGTCCATGGGAACCAGGCAGGATATTAGACATAACACAGGTGCAGTAGTCATGGGAAAAGCAATAGCCAAGCATTACAGCATCTTCTCCCCCACACAACCTCCAGCAGTTATCTTTTGCATTCCAACGCAGGAGCAGGATGATAGAAACCAAGCCGGGTGCAACAGGGAAAGAATATGTACACAGAGGTCACAGAAAACAGAATGGCAGCTTGCTGACATACTGCCCCCCTTAAAATACACTTACAACACACCTCCCGGGCCGGGCGGGAGATCTCCCGGGCTGGGCGGGAGACCTCCCGGTTTGTCCGGGGCTACTGAGGATAACCAAGATGTGCAAATGTGTTTTTAAAGGCAACTCCTTAATCCTCTATCAGGATGGTCATTAGTTGACAGCTCTGATTATAACCTGGAAAATTGATTTGAAAGGTTGGGAAGGGGGCGGGGGAAAGGTTGGACAGAGAGGTGAGATTTCTACCTCCGGGATACAGGAGAGGAGTCGGGTGAAAGTAGGCGTGACTCAGCAGGGGTGTGTGCCAGCATGGGGTGCGTCTGTCAAAACTCGCTCTCCGGTATTGCAGTTGACAGGAGGTGAGCACTTGTACCGGAATGGGGGGGGGGGGGTCCTTCAGGCTGGGCCAGAGGACCCAAAGCAGGCAAAGGGAAGGGTGGCATGAAGGCACCAGCAATTAATAAAAACGAATATTAAAAAAAAAAAGCAAAGGGAGAAGGGAGAAGGGAGAAGGAGGAGAAGAAGGAGGAGAAGGAGGAGGAGGAGAAGGAGAAGGAGAAGAAGAAGAAGAAGAAATCAGCGAGGGCTGCGTCTTCCAGGGAGACCCGGCAGGCTTTCACTCCGCCTCGGCCCAAATCAACCTTGAGCACATCTGATCTCCTCTGATCTCTTTTGCTGGCCTTGGGCCGCCTGGCACGGAAACAGGACCCCGACGCCCGCCCCCATCCCCCACTCAGAGAGGAGGAAAGCCCCC